CTCTTGAACAAAAAAAATACTGTTCAGGTGTCTTTTTAGACATAGCCCAAGCTTTCGATAAGGTATGGCACGAAGGGTTACTCCACAAGCTAAAATCAAACTTCCCAACACCATACTACTTAATATTAAAATCTTACCTAGACCAACGTTCTTTCCAAGTAAATATAAACAACACACTTTCTAACCATTTCACTATAAACGCCGGAGTTCCCCAAGGCAGTGANAAAAGAATTTTACAAAATCAACACAGAACGCTACGAAAATAATATTACCAAACTCCAAACATCTAACTGCTCTCTCTGGTGTAAAACAAAAAGTATATTAAAACATAGAGAACTAATACCGCCAATAAAACTAAACATCAACCAACTAGCAGTATCTGACATAGACAAATCTAATTCATTTGCTAAATACCTATATGAAGTATTTAAACCCAACAACATAAACCCCTCTGCCAACCATATAAACAAAATCAACAAATCACTAGACAGCCCCCTACCAATGACACTGCCCCCCAAACACNCCTATCAATGACACTGCCCCCCAAACACTTTTCTCCAAATGAAGTCAAATATGCAATTGGCAAACTAAAGAACGGTAAAGATCCAGGTCACGACCTTATAACAAATAACATCTTAAAACAACTAACCAGCAAATCTATCCTAAACATAGTCCATATCTTCAATGCCATGCTCAGACTTTCTCATTTCCCCCCACTTTGGAAACTATCAACAATCATAGTAGTGCCGAAACCAGGTAAACCTAAAAATTTNATGCCGAAACAAGGTAAATCTAAAATTTTAACTTTTTCTGATCGTCCAATCAGCCTCCTCCCTACCTTGGGAAAACTATTTGAAAAACTACTATTAAAACGTCTTCAAAATATTTCAGAAATAAAACACATCATCCCCCACTCTCAATTCGNCATCATCCCTCACTCTGAATTCGGATTCTGTGAAAATCACTCTACAATACACCCACTCCATCGTATCACCGATGCTATCTCCTCATCTCTTGAACAAAAAAAATACTGTTCAGGTGTCTTTTTAGACATAGCCCAAGCTTTCGATAAGGTATGGCACGAAGGNTGCTCAAGCTTTCGATAAGGTATGGCTCGAAGGGTTACTCCACAAGCTAAAATCAAACCTCCCAACACCATACTACTTAATATTAAAATCTTACCTAGGCCAACGTTCTTTCCAAGTAAATATAAACAACACACTTTCTAACCATTTCACTATAAAAGCCGGAGTTTCCCAAAGCAGTGACTTATCCCCCCTTTTATACTTAATATACACAGCTGATATACCTACATCTACCTTCACAATCTTAAATACTTTTGCTGACGATACAAGCATATTAGTATCTGACGCTGATCCCTTAATAACAAATTTCAAACTCCAACACCACCTCAATATTTTAGAAAAATGGTTTACTGAATGGAAAATTAAAGTAAATACAACCAAATCAAACCACATCACCTTTTCTCTTCGACCAGACATCTGTCCACCAGTCAAACTCTACAACACTTTACTCCCCCAAAATAATAAAGTAAAATACTTAGGCCTCATTTTTGACAAACGACTAACTTGGAAAGACCATATAACTNTAATAAAGTAAAATACTTAGGCCTCATTTTTGACAAACGACTAACTTGGAGAGACCATATAACTGAAAAAAGAAAACAATTAAACACCCGACTCCATCTACTTCGCCCTCTCTTAGGTTCCAAACTTAATCTAAAACTAAAAACACTCATCTATAAAACTCTTCTCTTCCCACTATGGTTTTATGGTATTCAAATCTGGGGCTGTGCCGCTCCATCCAACATCCAAAAAATCCAATCATTTCAATCCATTTGCCTACGAACACTCACCAATTCCCTTTGATACGCCCCTAATAAAACTCTCCATTCAGATCTTCAAATTAGTTATGTTAACAATATTGCCAAAACTGCTTACCTAAAACTTCACAACAAATTAAACTCTCACCCTAACCCTAATATTCAATACCTCTACTCAAAGTACATCCCGGACAATCCGCCAAGAAGATTAAAAAGAAAATGGTGTAGAGACCTCCTATAGAAAAAAAAAAAAAAATGAAATCAAAAAACAAAACTCAAAGTAGGTAGCTCCATTGGGTGCCCCCTACTGCATGCTATTCAAGTCATATTATAATTTTTTTTTCACTACTTTTAATCCATTTACGGTTGTGCATATATTTTGTATAGATGTAAATTTATAAAGTTATTTGAATAAAAAAAAAAAAAA